AGTTGGTGTGGCGAGTCTATTTTCCGTAGTTCTATCTTCAACCCTTTTTTTTCATGATGTTTCTGCACCGCTCTTCTCTGATAAATTCTCTTCGAAGAAAATATTAGTTATAGTTAACGTTGTACAATTAACACGTGTACGATATCTATACTCTTTTAGAACACCAAATGCCACTTCTCATTTGTGAGTTTCACGCCGAAACAAACGAACTTTCATAATATATAAGTGAAATGATAAGCCGCTTTTACACATCTACATTCTCGTGTTGCTTGTTTTGTTTTTATAAAAGCTAATCACGATTTCCATACATGTACATTATCTCGATCAATAATGATCTATTAAAGATACAGTGTCCCGAAAGTATTTATCGGGTGGCTATTTCGAATAAAAGTATGGCAAATTGGTATATATGGAAAGATAAGACACCCAATCTTACTAGAAAATACTGGATTACCTGAAAAACACCTATGGGGCAAACACTGGGCAAAAATGTCAGGGTATCACTAACTGGCAACCCGACTGTTGTCTGCCAGCTTATTGTGTGCTAGCTTGACTGAGGGAGCACTTGTTATTTCTTGATCAAATGGTTAGGCGGTTTGGGGAACATTGAGGGGGTGTCGACGTACAAAAGACTCTACAATTAAACGACGGAAAAAGAAGTTGACAGAAAATAATTAAGAATTTACTTAGGCCTCAATATTTATAGTAAATGTACAGTAAGTAATGATAAATGCATTCTGAAAAATGCCCCCCTCCCACCCACAATGAAGCTCAGGTGGCAGACAGAGCGTCTCACAACAGTTTATTTATAGCAATGGGAATCCCCGGGGATACAACGTTTTGAGAGGTAATTGAAGCAAATTTTTAATAGATTGATTAGTTTGAATATGTTTTTAGTCCAAATATATCATCAAATCACAGTTTGTATGCGGGAAGTAGTATCTTTAAAGATACCGTATGTAAGATTTAGATGTGTGTATTATGTATTACCGTAACCACGGTACTGGTATATTCGCTTCCCCATTTTTAAATTAAATCATTAAATGTCCGAAACCTTCTAATCTAGTAAACATCTCAAGTATCCGATGGCACCGAGAGTTGATCATGGTCTTGTCATGTTAATAAAGGGCTAATTAATACTTTATATAACATTTAAGGCCTAAAGAAAGACATGTAATAGGCAAATTTAGCTTTTGAATAATGTACCTTTAAATTCCAATTTCTTTCATCGTGTCATATATAAAAGTTGAAAGTAATATTAATCTCTTTGTAAATCTACACTACGTATACATTTTCTAATCTTTGGAATTTCAAAGCAATACACACTTCCTGTTACTTCAGGAAAATAATTACGATACCAGCTTCTTTCTCGATTCTATGGCTTTGATCAGGAATGGAAACTAAAATTAGCCCTTTTCTTCATGTCAACCTAATTCCGTCAAAATTAGTGTACAAGCTTCTTTTTGTTTCTTTCCGTATGATTGCAACGTGATCGGCTCATTTTTTTCTTCCGCTTTATTGCACTTTCCTCGTCCCTTTTTTCTGTCCGTTTTCTATTTTTTGCAACATTCTCTTTCCGTTTTTGATTACCGTTTTATTAGATTGTTTTTGAGGGGGTGGAGTGGGGCTGTCACCGCCTACTCTTCAACACGATCGGACACACACCATCTTTGTCAACGTTTACATGCCTTTTTAGAATTTTAACACACAGTGGTAGGCCATTATTATCACAACATAGCACGAAACTGCTAGTTTACCATCATGGAGCAAGATGCATAATGAGCGGAACGAGACCGGTAATAATTGAGCAGGGTGTGGGGTGAGCTTAACGAAGTACATAGCGTTATCTAGTTTGGACTTGTAAGAGACAATATGCAGGTGTATCGTAGGCCTCCATCTTTGACACGGACCAAAACCCAGAGTCACCTCAGAGAAACTGGGACGGTTACAATAATTAATTTGACGGACAGGTTGTCCAGTAACAGATATCAACGCCAAATCAACGACTATTGCATGCTTGTATAATCCAATAGCGGATTCTTTTCATAGATAAATATGGAGGTCACATTAGTGGTTTCGTATGTCAGTTCAATGAGATTTTGGTTTGTTTCCGTGGAACTCAAATGTCACAATATATACCCTATATACCAGGAGCCCTTGCATTTATCACACGCTGCGCTAATGTCTTTTTTGCCCCCCTACTTCGATCTAGACCAACCACCACGCCCTGGGAGGTTTTTGTACACCAGTCAAATGAGATAATGCAATATCACTAAATGTAATATGTCACCCCTACTATTGCGCCCACTTAATTGCGCAATAACTTATTATTTGAAGTTTTTTGTCATGTGGGATAGTTTTCGGTCACTACCTTGTATTGATTGACACTTTAGGGAATTGTCTTTGTATTTTATGTGTCTAGACCAGTAAAAAAACGGGAAATGGCTAATATGTTATTTTATTGACACATTTTAGTAATTAGTTTGTTTGTTTATGTACTCGCTGTGGATAAATATGGGCACTCGATTTGTTTTAGGGTTCAGTTTTGAGCCTACGTTCATATTCATATAAGGGAGATAATCAAATTCAGGGACAGATAACTCATCCGAAACCGCTTCTCTATTAGTCTCTATCATACAGAAAAATATTCTACGAATATTATTCTGGATGCGTTGTCAACATTTGAGAATAATAATAAGTCATTGTCTACGGGAGTTAACTAGTCAAAACCAAGATGTTAACGCCCATGAAAATAATTTAAGAATGCTTTTTCAGAAAATCAATTTGATTGCATTGCCAGTTCAATATCGAACACTTTGTTGCGGGAAGGGGCGCAACTCTTACTTGACTTGGACAAAGATACTGGATAATTAACCACATAAAAAAACCCCAGATCCACCGCATGTTGAAGACTAGGAGGTTCTGGGTGACCGAGATTACTTCTCTTTCAGTAGAGATATCGAAAGGTGATAACACCCCTCATTTTACTTTCTAATAAGACTACGGGGTGGTGATGAAATAATGGTTTTGACGAAAAGGCGCAATTTTTAAATGTTTGACAGAGAAAGACGGGATCAAAGAATTCGAAGAAGAGAAGACAGAAACGCCACTCTGCCAAGTTGAATACGTAACCATATTAAATGAATAGAGAGAGAGAGAGAAATGGGGTTTAACGTCCACTCAACACAAACTAGGTCATTTTGGGACTAACATATGGTTTAATTTTATTTCAATAATTCGCTTGCGCATAGGGGTCTTTAGCAGTGGGAGGAAACCGGAGGACCCGGAGAAAACCCACGAGGTTGGAATTAAACGAATAACCTTGTGTCAGTCTCAGAATGAGATACACAACGCCAACGAGACATTGAACCCTAGACAATACCCTCTCTTGTGCTGAATAATTTTGAACGGGCTTTATTCTAACCCACACAGGGAACCACGATGTAATGTATTTTCTTTATGTAACCAATACATGTACTGTCGTTTTACTGGATAAACATAATCGTAAATCTTGGGGTACGCAGCATGTGATTTCATTTTAAGATAAACCAAGACACTTTACATTTAGATCGAAGAGACTTCCAGAAATAAAGCCCATGACGTCAATTGTTTTAAAATATAAAATACGTCAAGGCAGATATATATAGATATAAACTATAATGTAGAATGTAAAATAACCTTAAGGGCTTACTGAGGTACCGTGGCTTCAGGAAAACTTTATCGTGCTGCCAATGTTAAACACGGTATTAGATGAATGGTGAAAAACACAGGGTTAAACATACATTATGCAAGAGTTAAATCTGTCCATTGCAGGTCTTTCTTTAGGCCTGAAATGTTATATAAGTTATTAATTAGACATTTATTAACCTATCCAGACCAAAATCAACTCTAGATGGCATGGCTAGCCGGTGATCTTTAGTGGATTATGAGCCGATTTACTGCATAACTTTCCTTCACGATTTAACGATTAAATGGATAATCGAGACTATGTTGTTTATCGTACTGACTTTAGTAATGATGACCGGGGCTAGGCGGAAATTTCAATCGCTTAGTTCTCGGTTCATAGTACTAAAGGGTCCCACATGTGGGCCCTAAAATGACCTATTTGTGATGAGTACAAGGCTTACGCCATACAATATGCTATGGGGATAAATTTATCCCGGTCAGCGGCGCTTCGGCCTACTCTAATTTCCAATTCCAACTGTCAAGGGTTCTTTTACCTGCACGTCAATAGACAGGGCCTCGATTTTGCGTTCCATCCAAACTACTAGACCTTGTCCGTGCCAGGCCCTCCGTCCTGCTCCACTGGCAAGAAGCAACCGCGCCGAAAAACCCGAGACCTGGTTAGCGAGCCAGTGTCTTACTCACTGAGCCACAGCGGCTCCCGAGTGGAGGACAAACCCAATGTCTCCTAATATAAAGCATACCAAACATTGTTTTATTTTCTATATAATGGTCGATCTATTTCATATAGCAATGGCGTGTAGCAATGAAAATAATGACGTATTATTGAAATAATAAATCCTATTACACAATACCATGTTACGTAATTGCTTTGCACAAACAAACAAGCGTAATCGTATTATATATACGGTCCATGAACAGACTAATTTTCTTAATGGGTTCGTAGTTTGATCTGTTCTAGATGCACGGTGGGGGGGGCTGCCATTTGTTTGTATCCTTTTAATCAGTATTCATAAAACGTATTAAACAACAGGCTGTCACATAGACTAACATACAATGATAAATCTGGAAAGAAGGAAGTGAAAGATATTTAATAAGAGAACGTTAGAGCTTCCAATCTCGTGCATAGAGAAACACATAACATAAAATTATCGATCGAATTTAGCAAGCCGACACATCTATCTTAACAACATCTCGATCTAAATTTCTTTTCACCAGTCTTCGCCTTTAAACAATCTTACGTACGCCAAAAGACCGGTGTTGAAATTTACGAGACAGCGTCATAAATTAGTATCGCTTAAGGTAGAACCAACGTCTTTTAAAAACAAAATCGTAAAGCTTTACGGTCACCATGTGGTCAGCTGCGCGATCGGGTGCTGACTGACTGTGCTGATGACGAAGAGCGAGTGAGACGGTAGTATCATCTGACTACTGAAGCGATTAATCAAAACCTGGTTGAATGACAAGCCTGAGGCTACTCACTGATTCTAAACTAAAGGATAAGATTGTTGTTATTTGTTCAAGTTCATGGCGTTATCGGTGACTAAACTATTCCTAGCCGAAGTCGGCATCTGTGAGAGTGAGCATCATGGCGGGTTATTTACTGTTTGAACTAAATACGCGACATAGGAATTGATTTTGTCCGCGGAGCTACCCCTGTCAAATATTTTTGTATTGCTAATGATTTATTAGACGAGAGACTGGATTATTATTACAAACGCTAACAACTGGACAGCGATAGAAAGGATGTATGTCCGACAAACAACAGACAAAATGGCGGCGTCGGAGGTAAGAAATATTATATAGTTTACTGGCTAAATTGAAAGGCTGCGGTGTGGCGTTGTCGTGGTATTTATACCGTTATAACTGGCGAGTGTGTAGTGTGAGAGAGTGTGTAGCAGCCATTTTACGATAGGGCATTATATTGACCTAGTTTCGGCTTAAGTATCAACACGCTATTTGAGGCATAACGGTCTGTGTGAAGTTGCTTTCAAAATGAGGAAATATGTCGCCGAATAACTAGTTTAATGATAGGCATGTGTGAACGAAGTGGACAATTTTATCACATCGTTTATGTATTTAGTTCAGGGATATATTCTGTGGGATCTATATTATTATAGTTTAAAAAGTAGTATAGGCGACGTATTTCAAAATAGGTATGTGTATTATTTTTATTTCGCACGTATGTATTTGGCTATTAAAGATATATAGCCCAGGTCCAACATTAATGCGATCTAGCTACATACATATGCACCACAAAGACAAGGCCTGGATTTATAATTTATATCGCTAGTTGGCTGAAAACTATCGGGAACATCATAAAAGTGTAGCCTGTCTGTTCCAGGCTTACTATATAATGTTTTATTTTTTTTATATAATATATGAGAATTAAAGCTAATACATCCCGGTAGAAAAATAATAGCTGATGAGCCACACACTTCATTTTGATCTAGTTCACGTATCGAGATCAAAATATCGCTGTAAATTAGTTAAAACGTTAGTCGTGAACTAATTTACAATCCTTTCACAATCGAAGCCACGGTCGTGATGGCTCAATTAACATGTCCTGGGCGCTATCCCGTTGTTAGCCGGGAAAGTTACTCAGGATTTTGCAGTATGTCTCACCCACCCACTCACCCACCCACCCGAGGGCCATCCTCATTGGCCCGGTTGGTGCATAAATATAAATCGTAATAAACCCATTTCATCTGTTGTGTTTATTATTAATCCGGCAATGAATATTAATATATTTGCGTACGTTGCTCATTTATGTTTTGTTTTATCCTCAGATCCCGAGGTAGTATTCGGTGCACATTACCGGTCCGTGTACTGTTATATATAGTGTATTTTCACATCATTAAATTAATGGATATATGTATCGTTATATTAAATTAATAGATATATATATTGTTATATTGATATTATGATATATGCATCGTTATATTAAATCAATAGATATGTACCCTTATTTTAATTAATGTAAAGACTTTTACTTTAAATTGATAGACTCATACACCGATGTATTAAATTAACACATCCATACCATGATATATTAAATTGGCCATTATAGGCATCTGGGATTAATAGAATTATACACCATAATATTGAATTATCATGCACCGTAATATTGAATTACTCGATTTGCCGTTTTATTAAATTTGATTGAAATTATATATCTATACGCTGCTATCTTGAGTTACATATTTATAAAAAAAAATAATATAGTACAATATACACCGTTATATTGCATTAATAGTATCCGTTATATTGCATTAATAGTATATACACCGTTATATTGAATTAATAGTACATTGTATACACATCGTTATATTGAATTGATACACCGTTATATTGAATTAATAGTTTACACATCGTTATATTGAATTAATAGTTTACACATCGTTATATTGAATTAATACACCGTTATATTGCATTAATAGTATAAACACCGTTATATTGAATTAATAGTATACATATCGTTATATTGAATTAATACACCGTTATATTGAATTAATAGTTTAGCCATCGTTAACTTAAATTTATAGAATTATTTACCATTATATTGAATTAATTCAATTATACCGTTATTTTGAATTATAAGTATTATGGAGTTACTAAATCTATATCAAATTATTTTAGTTTATGTATTAGTAATCCGAACACTCTGGGACACATGTTCCCAAGCGCAATGATACATTTTAACGAATAAGGTATAATTCGATATTGATGTCCATTAGATATTGATGCGTTTTTATGCGATCACATTGAAATGTGTTCGTATATTGTCGTTACCCCCGTCCACCCATTCGGCGCTCTAGACTCGGAAGTTCATCCGACTGACTTTGAAATTAATACACTGTTTATGTGAATACATTTAAACCCCATTTTATGTCATTTTCTATTTATGTGAAGAAGCTGATTTTCAACGATTTCCGATAATTCAAGCAGCTAAATTTATCACCTGATTACCGGTAGGCCTACAAGTTTTGTATAACATATCTTAGCCCCAGGAAGAACTAGAAGCCAATCAAATTTTTAATTTTTTCTGATAATAAAGTAATAGGTTGTTACTCTTGGTCGTAAATCCTCCCTATACCTACAAAAGAATAAATATGCGAGTTAGCTGTTTAAGGGATACGTTTCCTCTCCTGGCAACCTATCTTTATTAAAGAATTCAAAATATAGTCTTCAAAAAAAAAGTAGGAGATATTCAGAAACAATACAAAACTGCGGAAATGCACTGCTGTTTTTATTAGAGGTAACCAGTGTATGTTAATAACAGGCCAATTGCCTACACATGAAAACATAAACAGTTCATATGGGCGGCTTATCTGACGGTCCCATTTCACTCGCAAAGAGATACACCGTCAAAAGTGAAAATGGACATTTTTGATGTTTGTTTTAATAATGAATAATTGCTCCACCAATCCTCATACATTCATGCTCCTAATCAACCGTCCAATCACGATTTGGGGCAATCTGACCCACTCCTCTTGCAGTGCCACGGCCAATTCTTGCAGTGTTGTCCGTTGACGTTGACGTCGACGAACACCTCTCCCGATCAAATTAAACGTAACACACTAAAGCAAAGATACGCTAAACAGTAAATCTTATGCAAGAACCGACAGGAAAGCAAACATGGATAGGAGAAACCAGCAAACGGCAGTTTTCATCAACCCTTCCTTGAAGTGTCAAATTTGACAATGAATCCCTCCCACGTGTATGGCGCTATTGCGTGTCGCACATGCAGCTCAGTGGTTCTGTTGGGGCGATACTGTGAACATACTCTCAAAGCATGTCAAGTGTCCATGACTATTTATCATATCACAACCTGCATAGGTATTTGCATTTCAATATCCCCTACTTTTTTGAAGAGTATACATTGAAATGAACCGTTCCCTTTCGAATTTGATCAACGCCAGTGCACCAAGACCAATGAAATGTAAACGGTATAAAAAGTTTGTTGGGTTAAACGTATGGGAGTAATTAAGATCCTGTCATGGGATATAACTACAGCTGTTTTCTCTAGCCTAAATATTTTTGATATCATAACACATCTGCCCCACGTGGTTTCCACCACTCATCGTGACTATTCGATTAGTATATTTCTAGTTGTACCAGCGTGGTATCTACATCACTAAGTCGATAACTCAAACATTTTTAATTTAATTACCTGTCACTTAACATAATGTTTGGTACTAATTTTAAAATACTATCATATCTAGCTGCATACATTATTTACACTTTAAAGGAGATGTCCCCGATTTCAAACGGAATAAGGTTTAACGTCCTACTGTTTTGCACCGATTGGGCTATGAAGACGGTCTAGATTTTATATTGATATAAGAAGTTGCACACGACTAATAGTTTATAACGCTATTCAGACGACCATAATCCAGTTTAAGGAAATGGTGACTATAAGTGAATACATCTTAACTGTTCGGTCAGCCACAGTCATACATGTAGGTTAAAATGAATTACGAACTCTTATGTCCTACTTGAAACCGTAATATTCCAAAGTAGCTTAAAGATACATTATGTAAGATTTAGATAACGAGCTAGCCATTCTTGCTATAATAGTTCGAAAATAGATAATGTAAAATGAATAATTTGAAAATTTCATTCAAATTACTCTATTGCGAGTGAAGATAGTAGTCTTTGAAGGTTTGACAAGACGTGTGCAATAATTTTAACCACCGTACTGGTTGTTTGAAGCTAAGTCTCGCTCCTCCATTTTTAGCTTAAATCAAAATATGGCTGAACTGTTCTAATCTATTTAATATCGAAAAAATCCGATGCCACCGAGGGTTGATTATGGCCTGGATAAGTTAATTAATGTCTAATTGATAATTTAGAAAACATTTCTGGCCTAAAGAAAGACCTGCAATGGGCAGAATTAGCTTTTGCATAATGTATGTTTAAGAGGACAGTTTTCAGCAAACCATTGCAGTTCATTCAGTCAAGATAAAACAGCTTAGTAATTAGTCTAGACGAGTAGTGAGTTGTTTTCGTTGGGTTTTTTTTTATCCCGCGCTGAACGAAGTTAGGGAGGGAGACTGAAATGGGCTCCGTCCGCCCGCCCGTCCGGATTTCGTTTCTGGAACATATCTCATAAACCGTTCAAGATATCTTTTTGAAACTTTGTACACACATTAACCTATTACAGTAATTGTGCCTATTGGTATTTAGGAATTTCTGGGGTTTATATTCTTTGTGTTTCCATGTAAACAAATTTGACTTGGTTTTTGGTTTACAATTTTGTTTCCGGAGCATATCTGATAAACCGTTCAAAGTATCGTTTTGAAACTTTGTGTACACATTAACGTATTATAATAGTTATGCCTTTTGCTATTTAGGTATTTCTAGGATTTATATTTTCCCACACATTTGACTTAGTTTTTTGGTATATAATTATTATTCTAGAGCATATTGCAGAAACTGTTCAAGATACCTTTATAACACTTATAATTCGGGGGGGGGGGGGATGGTTAACGTGTGTGCGTTGTATCATAAGGTCTGTCATTGAATCAACTGGCGTAGTTTCGATTCCCCGGTTGTACGTGACAAGGAGTAGGGTCACTTATCCAATCGCGTGGGTTTTCTCCGGGTCCTCCGGTTTTCTACCACTCCTAAAGACCCATACGCGCAAGCAAATTATTGAAATAAAATTGAACCATATGTTAGTCCCGAAATTGCTTAGTTTGTGTCGAGTGGGCGTTAAACCCGGGATGGTGATAACTAGTCATCTTGTGTTTTTTTGTTTTGTTTTTTTTCAAACGGGTTTTGTC